TCTTTTCACGGTATTTTGACTAAAATGTTCAAAAGTTGGATTATTCCCAGGTACATGGAATATTACTTTAAAATCTCATGTCAAAAGAATGCTCATTTCATAATTCTTCAAAATAAAATTCCTGTTCAAATTCATGATCAGTCTTCAGAAAAAATAAATATTATTAAGAAAATAATTTTTAATTCTTATTCCACCTGCAAAGAATATGCTTTTAGGTTTTGGTGGACTATAATCATACTCAAAAACCAAAATAAATGTCTGATAAATTTAATTAATCTTTAAATCTTGAATTCTCGCCTACTTCTTATGTTGAATTTGGCAAAGGTAGGAATATGACATCATTACTAAATACATGAATAGGAATTTATCTTTTATACATTTGAGCTTTGTACAGAAACACAGACCTAATATATACCATGTTTCCCCAAAAATAAGACAAGGTCTTGTTTTCTTTTGACCCCCAAAATAAGCACTTGGCCTTATTTTCAGGGAGCATGTTATTTTTGAGGTGTAAGAGGCGGCAAGCATGGTCACCTCATGGCTGCTACCATGTTGCAATATTTTCAGGGAGGGATTATTTTCAGGGGAGGGCTTATTTGAGCACATGCACTCAAAAGCCCAATTGGGCTTATTATCCAGAGGTCTTATTTTCAGGGAAACAGGGTATATTCCATAAAATAAGTTCTACCTCTCAACACCTTATGCTGTGTTTATTCTATTAGTCTTCAAAGATACTAGAATAATATTGGTTTCAGATTTCCTTAAATAATCTAGATTGCTCATGTAGACTAGCTGGATGAGAGAATAAGTTTCCTAAGGTATTGTATTGCTATAATTTAACTGCAGAATTTGAGCATGCATTTGCAGTGTTTAACTGGCACTACCTTGCAAATGAAACAAAGGTCAGGAAGACCAAGACACAGCTCAGAGCACCCTGACAGAGTATCCTTTATGAACCCATCCCTCACCTCTTCATCCATCTCTGGGTGGCAGAAGGAGCGTGTGGAGAGTTCGTCCGTCAGATCTTCATGGCTGCTGTGAGGAGGTTCCACCTTGCCACTAAAGAACAAAACCGTCTCTGGACTGGGGTTAGGCCAGGACAGAATTCCTTGCTTATCCACACAGCAGAGCACCTAAAAACAAGCCCAAGACACCTGACAAAACCCCAGAGATATACAATAAACTATTGGGCAAGGCTATGTCTGAATCAGTGAGCCAGACACAATGTTCCATCGTTTAAACCCAAGACAAAAGGCCATTTCCAAATAATCTTCCATCTCTCGAGACTTTTTTTTAATATGCTTGAATGCAGAAATACTTTCCCCATATGTGCAGATGCCATAAAACACTATAAAGCAAAGTAAGGAGATGACAAGGCACAGTCCTAGCTCAGTGAGAGATCAGCTAAGGCCAAAAAGAATGACAATTGGCAGCATGTGGTGTCCTTTATAACTCTTAGCCATCTTCTATCACATTTCAGATTTTGGACAGGAGTGAAGACTCCTGTGAAAAATAGGTAGAAAGTAAAGCCCAAGAATAGATTCTTAATAAATTAAAATGTTAATGTTCTAAAAGCTGAAAAGGACAAGGGCATGCCTACTGCTCATCTGTAGTTTATTGATTTAAAACTAGACACCACAGCTTTATCATTTTCTTTTTCTACATAGAGGAGACTACTGTCAGTCCAGCCCAGATAAAGAGCTTGCCAATCAGTAGCAACTTGATATCTTGGGTCCTCATCCTAAAATCAATCTGACCACATTTCTGAACCATTATCTCATCAATATCTAGCTAACAGATTCAGATAGATTTTAGAAGAACTGTTTGCAGCCATAAAGGAAACTAGCCAATGAGATAAAGGGCAGGGAATTCTATGCTCCTTTTTGCAACTCTTCTTGCAATCAGACTTACTGTGACAGATCCCAGACTGTGAAGCAGACTAGAGGTGAAGGTGAGAGTGGGTGATTTGCCCTTCAGAACTTGCAGGAAGTGGCTCCAGATACACCGTAACATTTCCTACCAAAAAAGCCACAACAATTAGTCAGCTAAATGAGGAAGAATGGCAAGTTCAAAGACACTTCACATAGGAACATGGTTATTTCCAGAAAGACAGGATTGGTAACAAGTGACAGTTTAACATTTCCACGGAAACTAAGTATAGCAGCCTGTGAATAAATCAGATCTCTAGTGCATGACAAAGCTAATAGGGAATGTCAGACTTCAAATATGTACAGGAAGTAGGATGATTCAGAGGGGTTTTTTTCTGTCTTTCTTTCCTTCTGTTCTTTCTTTCTGTTATTATATTTCTTGTTTTATTTTGTACTGTGACAAATACAGCTGTAAAAAATTGAATTTTGACAAACATGTATCTAAAAAAAATCAGTGTCGGCAGAATTCTGAATTTCACCTTAGATTCAGCTTTGTAGAACAATTCTGAGAGGATTGTTCAATCTGGGATATTTTTAAAAAACATAGATACATATCCTCTATTATGTTAAATTTTGTTAAAGTATGTGGGAAACAGATTCTGGACAAACAGGTTTTCAGTCTAGTGCAGTGGGATTCATATGGCTACAATTATGGCTAGGATTCCATTGTTGAGCATCCACAAGAGAAGGATATGCAGCCTCCACATGAAGACACCAAGTAAACAGGAGTCCGTTATCTCCCTTGCTTCCACTGTCAAACTGCCCTTATTATTAAATAGTTTTCCCCCCCTAAAATTCAATTTGAATCCATCTTCCTGTAATCTGAAACCATTGTTTGATGCCCACAACTTTGGAACAATAGGTATCAGGTTTTGACCTTCTTCTCTAAGATACCTCTTCAGCTATTTGAAAGTGCTGTCATATGTCTTCCTCAGTCATTTTTTTCTCAAAGCTAAATATGCAGTTTCTTTAGTCTATCTTCATGTGACACAAAAAAATGGAAGAAACATTTAGTTAAGTTAGCTACATTTCTTTAAAAAAAACCTCAACGTGGGAAAATAAATGTTCTCTCTCTCCCTCCCTCCCTTCCTCTCCCTCTCTGCAGTATTGTTTCAAAGTACAAAGCACTCCAAAGCACTAAAAAAGTAGACACCAGTTCATCATCACCCACCTGAATTGATACCACAGAAAATTTGCCCACTAATACTACCATTTCTTATACAATCATTACTGAATGCAATTGGCAATCCACATTGCTTCTTAATTTAGATAGAAGAAAGCAACAAGTTGCACCGATGAACTATTTCTTGCTTTGGTAAAACTGTGGCTTTTGTAGATAATAGTAAAGCATATTCTCTTTTCTCAGTTTAGATGGCCTTATGATGCAACCTGAACATCTAAGAAAGAACAATTAAAGACGTTGAAGTAATGAGTGATAGGGGTGTGAATCCCATTAATCAGATTATAACATACAGACTACCTGGATAAACTTTGAAATTCTACCACCCATTTGTTCCATCTAATCTCAAAGAAATACCCAGTTTCTCATATTTAACTTTTCTAAATCTGATTCTGACACACAGATATAGAGTATGCAGCCTGAAATTCTTAGGATGCTTTTTTCCAGTCCCTTGGACCATCTGTCGGTTATTTTCACTCAGCTAGACAAGCAATGTGAATTATGTGCTTCCTTAAAATAAACTTTTGAAAAATTCCACAGGCTTAATTCAAATGCCCCTTTGTTCTAAAAAAAAAATCAGACAAAACTGACATTCACTATAGGAAAGAGCATATAGAAAAGGTGTGCAGTAAGCGTGCAGACGGTCACAGTATAGCAAAATGAAAGTGCCCACAAGCCAAAGATACAGAAAATAAGAAGAAGAGGCCAAGCATTTTGTAACAAGGAAGGATGGACTGCACAGAAGAACACAGAACAGGATGCAAGACTGTTCAATAAAATAGTACCTGGGAAGATACCACCTCTGTGTAGCTACTGAGTGTGTCTTCTGAGAACTTAGCCAGCTGCAGCAAAAAAATAAAATAAAATTGGTTACTATCAAGATATTTGGAAGGGATGCATGAAGAAAATCCTTCTGAAAATACTTGTCACCACTAGGATACATGAATGAAAGGGGATCTCTGTAGGCTAAGCTCTACATGAAAAGTAAGCTGCCTCAGATATTCCTTTACAAATTGAAAAAAAAAACACAGCCCAAAAGAACCGAGTCTCCATTTTGACCATGGAAAGAGGGACAATAGAGGGACACAGAAACTTAATCTTGGACTAATATTAAATTTTTAAATGAGCTTTTGGTTAAAAGCAAACACATTCCTAAATTAAAAATGAGCCAAAGGTAATCAAGGTGGAACGCAAGGAGCAGCATCAAGTAGAAAGTGGTTCAGAAGAAGACTTTAAGAGGAAACCAGTCAGGAAAGTTAAAGGCAAAATTAAAGAGACAGGGAGAAGAAGCAGAAACATGCAGGCTGGGAGAACAAAGAGTCTAATTCCAACCCCAAGACAAAGGGAAAGAATGGAAAGGAAAAGAGCTATATAAACCAAGAGGACAGAAGCATGTAATTGTGCTAGATGATTTTGGTGGTAAAGTGCTACAAGAGACAGTACTAACTCTAAGCCAAAGCAGAAGTGGCAAAGACCCAATTAAGCTTACAGATGATACAAGTCTACATTTGGGATGGAAGCATATTGCCCAAAGAGCCAACATTTCTGGACTCTGGAATGGAGAAGGGAAACACGGAGAATACGAGCACTGAAGCAAACAATGGAGACGCTGGAGAAAGGAAGAGGAAAATAACGACACCAAGCTTCACATGCCTACAGCAAGCAAGCAGAGATGGAAGCAGAAGGAATGGAAGAGGCAGAACAAGATTGAATAGGAGAAACAGAAAAAAGCAGGAATGATATACATCGATCGACAGTAGAACCTACACAATCAAGAAAAAAATATTATTCCTGTTATTGCTAAACCCCCATAAGTTCTGCAATTCTAAAAACGTATATAATATCTAGTTATTCATTAGAGAGGTTAAACAATTCAGAATCAAAAAAACGGTGCAAGCTAAAATGGAAACTTACCAACTACGTTCTACAGAAGTCTGAAAATAAAACAATTGAGAATTGCAACCAGCAAATGGTCTATCAGATCCTCTGAACAATTCCCATTTTGTTCATGCTCAAAGCCCAAACCAGTTTCAGTTTTGCCCCTTTATCCCTTTAACCGCTCCCTCAGGAACATCTCCAATTCCAAAGAATGATAAAGAAAAGGCAGGGAAAGGGAAAGGGAAAGAAGGAGCATAGGATCGCCCTCTCTCAATATTAAGAGATTTGAGAATTCCCATTCCTTTTTTTTTTTTTTTTGCCCAATCCATCCTCCCACCGCTCTTTATTGTTAAAATACCTACCAACGATGTAGGGGAAGCTTTACTCATCTGGGCTAGAACCCTGGCTTCACCAAAAGCTGTGGCCAGAATCCACAGGACTGGAAACAGGAGTGGGAGGATAGGCAAGACTCCATTAACCTGTAATGCCATTCCAAGTCACAATGAGTTCAACCACTTTGCATAGATAGCTAAGTATGCAGCACCTCCCCAGATATTCAGTGATGACCAAAGCCATAAAGGCATTCTACAGATGTCCCAGAAGCATCCTGTTTTTAAGATCACTGAAATTACATATACGAGAATATAAACATGAATAAAGGAAAAATGCAAGAGAAGGTAAATTACAGGTGGAATCCAAGAGCCTCAAACCCTACCATATAATTCCATAAAAGACCTTTTTTCAAATTCATAAACATTTTGAATAGAATGTATTATCAGGGTACATCATTTATAAAAGAAAAAAGAAAAGAAAATATTAACACATATACTGGTAACAATAGTAATAATATAACAGAATAATTTTGGTGCATTTTTTTCTTTATATTGGCTTATTCATAATTCTGTTAATTATATTAGTATATTTATAATTATAAACCATCTTTATATGTAATTCCTACATAGCACTAATCTTTCTTCATCTAATTTCTACCTCTTATCTCTAACCACTCATAAAATCTATTCCATGACAAGTAATATTCTGTGTCTTCTTTGTCTTTTATTTTTGAAGTCAATCTATCCATCTCTGCAGAGTCTATTTTCCGAATTACATCCTCATCTGATGGAGTCTTCTCATCTTTCCCAATATTGTGCAAACACAATCCTTGCTGCTGTCAGTACATGCAAAACTATTATAACCCTCCAGCATTATACCCAACAAAAATATTTCTGGTTTCAGATCTATATTTTGCTTAATCATCTTTTCCAACCAAATATGCATTTTCTTATTCTTGCCATGTTTACTTGTACATTAGCAGAACTAGAATAACCACCTGGGGCTGCTAATAGGCCCAGGTGCCACAGTTCCCTAAAGCTGGAATCTCAGGACATCATATAAAGGTATTGAGCTTCCTTCCCAGAAAGGTCTGAACACAAGCAGCAACAAATTATACTGGGTTCCCACGAATGCCCCCTTTCTGCTGTCAAAAACAAAACAGAAGCCCAAAATCAGAATGCAAAATAGAAGCAAAATGTGTCCTGCTTCCTCCAAAGTTCTTCAACAAGTCAAATAATCCCATTCTGCACAGCCTGAAGTATCCTTCTCACCCTTTTCACTGTGAAATGCATCCCTAACGAACACAGCTTAATAGTGGAACATAGCATATACAAAAGTATGAACATCACACAAGTAAGAGCCAAGGTGGCGCAGTGGTTAGAGTGCAGTACTGCAAGCTACTTCAGCAGACTGCTAGCTGCAGTTTGGCAGTTTGAGTCTCACCAGGCTCAAGGTTGACTCAGCCTTCCATCCTTCCGAGGTGGGTAAAATGAGGACCCAGATTGTTGGGGCAATAGGCTGACTCTGTAAACCGCATAGAGAGGGCGGTAAAAACACTATGAAGTGGTATATAAGTCTAAGTGCTATTGCTATTTAATAGTAAATGCAAAAAGTGCTCTTTTTCTTTTTGATAATTTGGGGATAACCAGAGCATAGTTTTCTTTACCTGAAGCTGAAGAAACATGTACTGCCAAGGGACTGTTCCACCAACCATGAAAAAAAAACGCATGGCATTGGTAATCAGGAAGCCAAGCTGCCATTTAAAGAAATGAAATAACATTAAAAACTCAGCTTTCAGACTCCCACCCTTCTATATCAAACATAATTGTTCTTTGAAAGGTTATTACACAGGGACCAGATTTCGAATGAATCCAAGAAACTAGAGCACCCATTACACAAAGAGATTGGTTCACTTTATTTGCCACTACTGTAGTTTAAACAGAGAGATGACTCTGAGCCTGGTAATGCAGACTTAGTCATTTTCATTATATAGTTTTTAGAAAATAGACAAGCAATTTTCTGAAAAACAGCACTCAAGGCAAACAGCACTTAAGTTTCAAACATCAAAACAATGTAATTAAAATGTGTCAATAACACCCTAAGGAAACAGCATTTGCCAGCAAGTGCTTTAACAAGCTTGATTTTGAAATACAGCTATGGATAAAAGTCATTTTGCCCTCAACCACAAAAAAGATCTAGTCCCAAAGGTGCTTTTTTCAAGAGGCAACTGGACTTTCTGATTTTTTTCTTTGAAGACATTTCGCTTCTCATCCAAGAAGCTTCTTCAGGTCTAACTGAATGGTGGGGAATGGAAGGATTTTTAGCCTTTGCATCCTTTCAGAGAGTCGTTGAGGCCACCTGGAGGTTTCTCTGTGTCCTCAGGGTCACCTGAGTGGTGCAAATGAGTGTGGAGCCTTCTTAAAACTGTTGAAAGGACTGTGTTTGAACAGCCCTCTCTCAATAGAGAGGGAGATATATGACATCTTCTATTTCCAGTCTACAACACAGTCTTATTTATGGTAGTCAAAACAAGATGTCCCTATGTCATGCACTGCTGTATCCAGATCAGACATTTTTTTAAAAAATGGACACTGCAGATATATTGGTTTAGTTGTGCATATACATTTCCATCTTCCTTTAAAACCTGGATACCCAATACACCCATCTTACTAGAGAGATTAAGAGGGAAAGAGAGGGATCACCTTAAGGTTTAGTTAAGCTACCTTCTCTTCTTCTGGGTTGGTCTACAATTGTAACAATCATCTCCTCTCTCTCTTTCTCCCCACAAAACTGCTCCATCTGTTTTGTTTAGCTCTCTCCTGTACATAAAACAGTTCCTCCTATTTCTACAAATGAATACTCAGGACTTGCAAAAAAGAATCAAGGACTATTTCTTCAAAGACACAAAAAACCATCATTCATCGAGATACTCTTAGTCACCTAGACTTTGACTGGACCAAAACCAAAGAGCTGCTTCTTACAACCAATTGTACATACCAGCACCACAGGAACAGCAAACTTCAGCATCACTGACTGTACTGTGAATCTCTCATTATCTAGAGCAGTCACACGCCGTGATAAGCCCATGTCTAAACATAACCTAAAAAAAACAAATGAAAAGTCACTGAGGATCTTTAAAACACTGTCAATAATGTATTACCTTTTGCTAGCTTTGTACCCAGCAAATCTTTCAAAAAAATGTTTTTATTATTATTCTTTTACATACCATTTTAAGTCTACATTCACATAATTGTTATTCTTCTTTACATTTGTCATTCTTATACATTTATTATTTCATTTAATAAGTTATACTATACAGTTTGGGTTGCTTTATTTACCATCCCTTCCTCCTATTGTAACACCACCCAGCAAATCTCTGTTATGCTTTGAGAAGAGCTCTCTCCAAGAATTAAGAACTTACCGAACATTGTCAATCACTGGGGTTTTTGTGACCCGAAAGAGTCGAAACATTTGGGGATTCTGGGGTCCTTTCTTTACTTCCCCATTGGGGGAGGGTGGGGGAGAAAAAGGAGGAAACAGATCCCCTGGTTCTAAGACAATGTGTTCATCATCCTGTTAGAAAAAGATGAGACAGTGATAGAAGCTGTCTAACAAACAGGCAACTCAAGTATCTTACAAAAAGTTCAAACTTCTTTAAGCAACCAATAACAATACACCTTACTTTACTAAAACATATAATTTACTGTTGCTTAGCTGGCACAATAGTCTTTTATATATAGTTATATAGCATTATTATACGAACTCTGGTTTTTTGCTCACAGAACTTTCAAGGTATCTAACAACAACAAATTAAGCATACTTCCTAAAACAATGAAAACAGACAAAAGCACAACTAAGTTCAAATGAAAAGGTCCACTAAGCTGAAGAAGCAATGGCATGCAATGCACGGTAGTTGTGGTGGCACAGTGGTTAGAATGCAGTATTGCAGTCTAACTCTGCTGACTCCCAGCAGTTTGATCCTGACCAGCCAGGGTTGACTCAGCCTTCCATCCTTCCAAGGTCAGTAAAATGAAGATCCAGATTGTTGGGGGCAATATGCTGACTCTGTAAGCTGCTTAGAGAGGGCTGTAAAGCACTATGAAACATCTAAGTGCTATTGCTATTGCTGTTTATTATTGCTTTAAATATGTTCTTCTCATTACAGAAAGAAGCCACTTTGTCACAAGCTATATATACTGATGTTTTCTGAACTATTTGGTTTCTATTTTTAAAAGAAATGTTTAATTAGGGCCCTTTTTAGGAAGAAAATTTATGGATGTTTCTAATACTCACGTGTATGTAGAAAAATATGAAATACTTTGAATCCAAAAAACCCCAGAATCAAACTTTGCACATACCGAATTCTTCTGTTTTTATTTGTTCATCAGAATCATCATTAGCATCAAGAAGAAAAATCTGAGTTACCTTAATCCCTCTAAGAGAGGTGAAGGATTCCTGGCCCGGCCTCAGAGCAACAATATCACCTTCTACCAACAGGCTTACTGGGAGGTTGACAAGGTGACCATCCCTATAGACCCAATGGAGCGACCAGGATGGCGCAAAGGGCATATGAAGGTCAGGGTACATAGTTTTTGTCCAGATGAGTTCTTTGCTATCTTTTAAAGCATCTGAAATATCAGATTAACAGGAAATGGTTATTAAACAAGTAGTAATGGTAGAAAAATAAAGATATCAAACAGATATAGAATTCTTTATTGGCCAAGTGTGATTGGACACACAAGGAATTTGTCTCTGGTGCATATGCTCTCAGTATACATAAAAAGGCAAGATACATTCGTTAAGAATCATAAGGTACAACATTTAATGATAGTCAAAGGGTACAAATAAGCAATCAGGAAACAATCAATATCAACATATCATTGTTATATAGATAATAACTAAAATACTAATGGGAAAAACATTCCAGGAGGGAGGGAGGAAACAGGCAACACCAGAACAGTACCAGAAAATTCGAATAAATAGTTTGTTAGCTTCCTTCCTTTCCTCTCTCTTGAAAAAATGTCATTCAAGGTTAAAAAACAACACATACAGCCAATCCACCACTGCAAATCATGTGCAGACTTCTCTTTCCAATGTTGTATAAATAATTCTTTTTGGCCATCCTCCATGCATGAGGGATTATTTGATGAGGTCCCATCCACTAAGGTCATACTGCTAAACATTGATCCAGATTTCAGTTGCAGCAGGAATTTATTCTGAGTTCATTTTAAGGTCAAATTAAAAGCCTAACCTTATCCTTCCAGCCCCAGTATTAATTAACACAACCCTCCAGAATCTGTTGGCATCTATGCCATTTTAGAGAAACTATATTCATTTCAACCATGGCAAAAGGGAGTGATATTCTCCCCGTTTTCTGTGTTCTAATCATTCATTCTTCAACAACTCCTACACACACCTCCAAAAACATGCATTTTAATGGACATCAGTGCCATTCATTAGTTTAATACATGCTACAAATAATCTGCCGAGTCTTTCTATAGAGTTTGTAAACTGCAGCAGTGGTTCTTGCAGCTTTCCCTGTAGTGCATCCAAAATCTCAACATCTGGATAACTTTGGCAAGTAATATGTTTGTTAACAGAAGACAGAACAGGATGGAGATCCGGATGGAGGGAAATAAGGGAACAAAAACAGCAGCAGTGATTTGGCCAGGGGTCCTTATCAAGTTTCATGTGCTTTAAGATTATCCTCTGTCCATAGATATGAGACATTCTTCTCTATAATGGCAGCCTGGTTTCAGAATATCCAGCCACAGAAAGTATGCTTGCTGCATTTCTGGTGCTAGATTAAAATGTATTTATTTACCAAAGAATTTTTAAATTCCAAGCTTATGTTTTATTTAGTTTAAATATTTATGTTTCTCATAGTTACTGTCATAGATAGCTACTGATGCTTAGCTTTTATTTCCTTTTGTGTAGCACTTAATATAGCTAGTCCACAACTTACGATCACAATTGAGCCCAAAATTTCTGTTGTTAAGTGAAATATTTAAGTGAGTTTTGCCCCATTTTACGACCTTTCTTGCCATATTTGTTAAAGCGAATCATTGTTGTTGTTAAGTTAGTGACAAGGTTGCTAAGTGAATCTGGGTTCCCCATTGACTTTGCTTGACTTTGCTTGTCAGGAGGTTGCAAAAGGGGATCACATGACTCCAGGACACGTCAACTGTTATAAATATGAGTCAGGCCAGTGGTGGGATTCAGCCAGTTCGCACCACTTCAGGAGAACCGGTTGGTAACTTTCTAAGTAGTTTGGTGAACTGGTTGTTGGAAGAAATCATTAGGGCAGAGAACCGGTTGTTAAATTATTTGAATCCCACCAGTGAGTGAGGCCAAGCGCCTGAATTTTGATCACAGGGCCATGGGAAGCTGCAACAGTTGTAATTGGGAAAACAGTCATAAGTCACTCTTTTCAGTGCCGTTGTAACTTTGAATGGTCACTAAACAAATGGTTGTAAGTTGAGGACTACCTGTTCTGATATTGGGGCATATGACTCCAAACTGCTTTTTTGGATGAAGACATGATTTACAAGTAGAAAAAATTTAAAAAAGGAATAAAGGATTTCTATTACTGTCCTTAAAATATAAGTTACAGAATACTGCGGCAACACTGCAATAACTGGAATAAGGAAAAACTGGGGATATTTCTACATATATTTCTGTATGTATAATTTTTTTAACTGCCTATTTTACAACAGTCTCTGATGAAATACCATCAGGTGAGAGAAAACAAAATCTAACCAAATGCCTGGTTCAAATCTGTCATGAAAACAGCAGATAGATGGAAGGGGATGCAGGGAAGAACGATGGAAGTAAAAGGTTATGTTTTTTCTTTTCGTTTTGGCAAATTTGATCAGGAGAGAAAGAATAACACGCCCAGTCCTAAGGAAGACTGAGTCTAAAAGCTGGGAGGAGCTACCAGAGAAGGCGGGACATTGAAGTTAGCAGACTCAGTCCAATTGGATAACAGATGGAGTTAACCCATTCCTGGATGCTATCTCCACCAACAATGGAGAAAAATAAAGACAAAGGAAGAAAGCAGAAGAATATAACTTTTGGACACAATTTCTATATGGATCTTCTGGGGAATTATCAGCCATTAATTAAGAATAGATTACTGCTTCAGCCAAAAAAAAAAGTAGAGCCTCTTCATGGTGCAGTGGTTAAGGTGTTGGACTATGAGTAAGGAGATCCAGGTACTACTTCCTACTCACAATATCTCTCCAGGAATCAGTGGGCCAGTTACTCCCTCTCTGCCTAAACAATCTAACTCATAGGTTATTCCTGGGGAGAAAAAATTGAAGGGAGGGACATTTATGTACCGTCTTGAGCTCTTGAATGAAAAATAGGATATAAATCTATGAAATAAAATCAACAACAAAGGTTCTAAGATCTGATGTTAAAAAGGATGTAGCTACATCTACATAGGGCAGGCATGTCAAATTCATGGCGTCACGCTGTCATCATGTGATGTATCATGTCTTTTTTCCCCTTTGCTAAACTGGGGGTGGGCACAGCCAGCATGTGATGCATTCGCACCGTGGGCCACGAGATTGACACCCCTGACATAGGGTAACAAAAATAATAAAGGAGGAGGAAGAGTAAGGGAGGGGATCTTACCATCTATTCTGCTGATGATTTTCCGAAGTCTCCTCTCAATTTCTCGGCGTTTCATCCTCTCTTGCCGTCCAATCACAAAGAGGTCAAGTAGCACCAGGAAGAACAGTGCCAAGGCATTTACAATTTCTGAACCTTCACTGTTTAAAGCAAAACATGAGGCTTTTTAAGTAGCTGAAAGAATTATGACCAGATCCAGAACAGGTTTGACTCTACCTATAAATGCCAACAGGAGTTAGTAAGGAAACCTCTGCTTTAACCCAAAAAGGATTTACAACTTCAATTCATTCAAATCATGCAACCATAGCAGGAAAGTAAATGAGATTATAACACATAAAATGTTTCTCTTCAGTTCTCTCAGGGCAGCCAACCATTAGAGAGAGCCCTATGTCTCAGTCGACTGTTCATAAAAGAATGTGAGGCAACAGTTATATGTGCATCTCCTGCAATAGAATAAAATTAAGCTGCCAGTCTGACCAACTTCTGAATACTTTATTTGCTTGCCTGCTTATTTACTTATTTATTTATTTCCCATAAATAACTCAAGGCAGCGAAATACCTTAACATTTTATTCATTTAACATTTTTAAACGTAACATTTTATCCTTCACTTGAGGCCACAAGGCATCTTGGGCTGAAACTGTTCAGGTTCCTGAAAATAAACAGCTTGAATCCTTTGGTTGGAAATAATTGATTAGGAAGCCACAGCTGTCGAAATTTCTTTGAATAAACTTCCTTTTTTTTTAAAAAAAAGATCCTTTCAAGCCAGGCATTGGTAGCCGCAGGACTCTCCACCAAACTGAATGCCCAGTTTTGAAGCAAGGTGGAAAAAAAATCTTTGTAGCAGTCAAAAATACTTGGGTCAGTTTCATAAACACAACGGCAGCCAACAAAGGGAAATAAACGTGTGAAATTTGAAGAACGATTAGGCAGTTGCATAGCCTAATCAACAATCCTACTAGTTTCCAGCCATTAATCACATGGTCGCTTATGAGCCTATCCACATACTTAAGTCTTAACACAGTTTTTATTCCATATCCATGTTGGTCAAGGCAAAAGCAGAAGGTTTGGGGTGGATCTTGGACTCATACTGTGGAAACCATAAATAAATATATATGATCATATAAATTATTGCTTTTGAAGAATCCATTATAATCTACACAAGATATTATTATTGTAATGTGCTTTCAACCTGAGTGGAAACTGTTCATGAGTTTGATAAATCCTACACAATCCAGGTTGAATTTGTGTGAAATCATTGAAGTATGATTATCCAAAAAAGCAAACATGCTTATGGTTTTCCTTAGAATAACAACGGTTTTCTATATGAATTGAAGGGTAAGAAAATGTATAGATTACTTGCCTTCCTTGGGGTTGGCTCCCATAGCAGCAGAATAGTAACAGCATAGTTAGAAGCATCAGAGATGCCCCTGGCCAGTGAAAACAGGAACAACGGTTGCCATGATATAGAAAACTGGCCTTCCATACTTCCTACAATAGGAAAAGTATAAAGAATGGGAAACTAGATGGAAACACAAATGGAAACTAAACTTTATTATCCCTGCAAAGATCAAGAGAAACAACCGTGGAACTAAGTTACATTGGACTGCAAGGACAGTAGGTGCAATATTCTTGTTATCCATATTCCATGCATAATAGATTGATAGACTGATAGACAGATATAGGTAGACAGATAAGACAGCCAAAGAAACAGACAGATGGACAGATGTTCAGAAGCCCAGTCTACAAAGAATGCTAGTTCTTTATTCTGGCCTCACAACAGCAGGAAATACCATAGAAATTTGACACCCTGGGATTATCACTTTTCCTTCCCTCAATGGTAAAGGTTCTAGCAACCTCTACAACAATAAATCTGGCATTTTTTATTATTTTTTCCAATCCTTATACAGTGGTACTTCAGTACTCGCGATAATTTGTGTAGGGGAGATGTGACAAGTCTAAAAATGACGGGTACCAAGCAAACCATGTGACCTACCACCTGATCCTTTGTTTTGACTGTTGAGAACTTCATATATGTCCTTTTTCCTATTTCAGCAACCTTCCCAGCAGGGCTGACTTCCTGTCCATTCTCTGCAGCTATCCCCATCTTCCTATCACAATGCATCAAATACCAAATTCGATAAGTTTTGAAGCAGTCGGGTACAGAGGTACCACTGTATAGGTATGTTTCTGTTTTATGCTTGCTACCGTGTTTCCCCAAAATAAGACAGGGTCTTATTTTCTTTTGACCCCCCCCAAGTTGCTTGGGCCTTATTATCAGGGGGGGGCTTATTGGTTTGGGGTGAGAGCTGGGCCAGGGCATGGTGAGGCTGGGAGGCACAAGAGCTGGAGGCAGAACAAGTGCTCGTGCAACCTCTCTTTCCAGCAGGGCAGAGTGCCACGCGCCTTGGCGCCTTTGGGATATTACTGGGTCGGTGAGTGGCACTCTGCCCGGCTGGAAAGGGGCGTTGCCAGGCGGCTGCTCATGAGAGCAGCTGCCCGGCAACCCCCCAATCCAGCTGGGGACAGCGCCACCCACCAACCTAGTGGTATACCAAAGGTGTCAAGCAATGTGAGCCCCATTGCCCCCCCTCCCCCTGGCTCCTGTGGCTTTGTGCCTTTGGGATATCACTAGGTTGGTGAGTGGTGCTCTGCCTGGCTGGAGGGGGGTTGTTCAGGGGGCTTATTATTGGGGACGGCATTTATTTTTGCCCACAGGAAAAATATGGCATGGCCTTATTATCAGGACATGTCGTAATTTGGGGGAAACACAGTAGCTGTCCGGAGGTATCTGAATAAGATATATGGCCATAGTAATATATATATATATATATAGTAAATAAATAAATAGACAACAATCTTGCTTTCTTACTTATTCTACAATAAGTGCCCTTGTTTATTGTTTAACTTTTACCTAAAATGCACAGGATGCTCTTAAAAAACATAAAAACACGCAAAACTGAAAGGGATACCTACTTCACAAAGTTGCAAAGCTTACCTTCCATGAAATCACCTTCTTCCTTTCCTTCTGATGTCCCTCCAGCAGTGTTGATAGTTGGTCTCTCAGAATAGTTAGGGCTTTTGTTGTGGTCAGACCCAAATTTGTAGTCATTTCATCCTGAACAGCAAAAGGTAAATCTAGTATTTCTTCACAATTTTTCCTACCAAGTTCTGTGTCATCTTCTCAAACAAGTTATACTTAGCAGTGACCTATCTCCTGAAAAAACTGGTATATCTTTGTCCATAATAATAATACTTTAAACACAAGAGTACTGCAGCTTAAACCTTCACTTCTTTTTTTTTTCTTATGGGATGACATTATTCACTTTTCAAAGTATTGAGGGGGGGAATCCTACTTTTCTTCCTATTTTTTTCCAATACTATAGTTTCAAATTTGGTTGACATCTGATTATGATCCCTGATTGGAGATCCCTGAACTTGATCCTTTATCAGGGATCACTTAATCCCTGATCATATCTAAACAGAAATGCCACCCTAACCATATTAATCTCCAAAAGACTTTGTTCCCAAGTTGCTCCTGTATGAGATTGCATCTTTCAGAGTCTTGTAGTGCTTTCGTAGGGCTCAATGGCTAAGACGCTGAGCTACTTGTCCCAGCTTCTGTCCCTGTCCAAAAGACCAATGTTTGAGCTGATCTAGAGAAGCCAAAGTTGCCAAGGACAGACCCAGGACAACTGCCAAAGAACGAGTGTCTCAAACACTCTTTACCTGCTTGTAAAACTTCTGGCTTTGACCAGCAAGCCAAACGATTTGCTGCTGTTCTCTCTCCTGGCTCTGCCTTGTTCTTTTTTTAGGAATATGAAAATGGAAATCCCTCAGCCACAAAAATGAACATGTAAAAAAAGGAATTGTCATAGCACACAGGTAAATTAGGATATTTCATATTTGGCACACTAAGAATAAAGCCTGATGCAATGTTCTTATTTGGCTAGCTCTAGGACTTAAATAATTGCTCCTTTTTGTTTTGTTTTTTAGAAGACAACCAGACCGCATCAACATTATGGCAAATAAACTTAATTTCCCTATATTAAGCATAAAGCAAAAAAAAAAATCAGATCCCATTTTGGGTCCACTTAACAAAGATTGTCTTGCTTGGATTTTCAATAAGTACAAACATAGCTACAAAGTAGCTATGAAATAGGATCTGTAAGGAGAAGCTACCAAGCCTGGTGACTGATATCCAGACATAATGAATGACTATAGAACAATTAAGTTTTTGATACCTTCTCCCAATTCTCAATACAGCTCAATTCCATAACAAGATTCTCCATCTCCATGAAACGCTTATTCAACATCTCCAGGGGTAATTTCTTCTTGAATATTTTAAGTTAAATCTTTTACAACTACGGTGCAAGAATTCTGATCACTAAAAGTATGAGCACCAGACAAACTGCTTCTTCAGCCATTAGACCAATGTTCCCAAACTTTTTCCTTCATTATCCAAAACTGTTTTCCAGAACATCTTTTCTACCCAACATAGGTAAAACATTTAAAGACAATTTTGATGTCCCTGTTGTGATTGGGTAATGGGTTCATGTGTTAAAAGAAAAAAATACCTCTAACTAATTTGAGGGATTTATCCAAGTTTGGGAAGCGCTGCATCAACACTAATCACCTCCTCTATATATTGTATAACTCCACTATTTCTCTGTACTGCTCTGAACATGTAAAATATTGTAAAACTCTCTGCCAAATATGGATTTGGTTTCTGGATGCAACATGGGATCTGGTTAATGCCAGAATATAAGTATAGGCCAAGTTTCCCAAACATGGCAATTTATGGCAAATGGATGTGAGAAACAAGAGCTGCCACAAATCTCTCAGATTTTTAGTCTACAAAGTGCAGAAGTGATACTCATCTGGCAGCAAAAAGGCAACATTAGGATAGTTCAATAGGTCCCCCCCCCCCCCGTTATTAGGATCAAACACTGTAGACATTAGCAAAACTCAGCTTCTATTAACCTGGTTAATGTATACAAATTATGGTTTGTTAACTAAAAAAAGTCATACTTGGCCGGATTTATTTTAATTCGTCATGGCATTTACATGATAAGCTATGGTTTAGAAATCACAGTGTCTGAGTTCATACAGGACATTAGCCATTGTGGAGCCATAGCATTTGTGGTCTTCTACCAGAGAGATCAGGATCACCTACACAGCCATCAGTTCCATATCTCCAGAGCATTCCCTACCTCTTTACCAGTGGTTCCCAATGTGGGCCCCATGCCCCACAGGGAGGGCAATTTAATTTTTAATGTGGGCAATTTGAACCTTGTTTAAACCAAGTGAATAGTCTTTTAGGCTTCCTCTGTGTGAGTAGTTTAGTGGATCGAGGGTAGAGACGACGNATTACTTGTCCCAGCTTCTGCCAACCTAGCAGTTTGAAAGCATGTAAAAATGCAAGTAGAAAAATAGGGACCACTTTGGTGGGAAGGTAACAGTGCTCCGTGCTATAGAGTGGGAAACTAACGCCGGAAACAACTAGCATGCACCTTTACCTTTACCTTACCAACTACTTCCCCTCCCTCATGCTGGATTTTTCAGTTGTGCCCCAACCACCCTATCTATCATGACTTGCTTAAGCTATCCAACCCATTTAATGATGAGCTTTACGGGATAAGGGTGTTCCCTTACGGGATAAGGGTGTTCCCTTAGTGGAAAAACTTCTTGGCTACCTTTTTCTGTCTCCATTCCATTTCTTTTTTGTTGTTAATGTATTTAAACTTGAGATCTTCCTGTAAAAAAAAAACATAATACCAATAAAGTGTTTACATTTTACTTCTCAATTATTTAGCCTTTGGTGACCTAACCTCAAGAAGCTCTTAATTTTATAATCCTTCCAAGATTTCCTGAATCGGTTTATATATATTTTACTTAGAACAAACTATTTAAAAACAAGTCATGGAATATTGTCACTGCAGGACACATTATAGCTGAATAGTTTGTTCCTTAATTAGCATAATGGTCCCCTTATTAAATGGAGAGTACCAAATCATAGACATATGTTTTCTTCAGAAGACCCAACAATTTTGAATTACTGCCTTTTTTAACTTTATCAATAAGGCAGAAAGAATTAATCTTTGTTGGTAAAAGCAAAATGGAGAGATAGATTATGGAGAGCTATACATATATATGCTTAGCGTGCATTATTTATGGATCTAAATTAAACTTTTTATATTTACCAAAGAATAAATTAAACTGCTTTTAAGAAATACCTGTACAATATTTTAAACTTTACTATTATGAATAAACAGCAGGAAAAGCAAGAAATGTATGCACTATTACTGTGAAGGAAGCAGAGGTGGGTTTCTGCCAGTTCGGCCCGGTTCAGCCGAACCGGTAGTGGAATTCAGGCCTGGGTCCCAGACTTGGCAGCGACCCAGGCCTGACACGCCCCCATACCAATTCCCTCACTTTAGTGGATCGAGGGTAGAGACGACGCGAGAGCCAGGACTTCAAAAGAACACAGGTTTATTCTCAAGATAGTTTGACAGCGATTCAACTGTATCATTTACTTGACATTGTATTTATACAGGCAGCAAGAACAAACAGACCAATGGGCGCTCTCCCAGCGTCTGGCAACTGCTGACGCTGCGCCCTGACCAATCAGGAAGGCTTGGGTGGCTAGCAACAGGCTATGCTGCGCCTCAGCCAATCAGGGCGCAGCCTGGTCTGTTGCTGGCCTCCCAGTCGTAACTCGAGGATTTTATGAGTCCTCAACACCCACTACCGCTTGGCTGCTGCCATTTTGGATTTAATCACCACGTGTGCGGTCCACTGTAAATTGTTCTGCGCATATGTGCAGAACAATGTACATTCAACTGAGCACATGTGCATGCAGCGTGCATGTGGGTTGTGAACCGGCAGTAATGCCGGCAGCCACCCACCCCTGGAAGGAAGTACTAAAGGCAATGTTAATTTGAATATGTAATATAGATGTATTTAAGAAAGTACACTGTTGATATTTACAGAATCCCCCAAAAGAATGTAAACATCTTTGATAAAATCTGTGTTTGAGATAAAACCTATTGTTTTATTTGTTTTATTTTAAATTAAATAGCAACAGAAAATGACAAAACACAAATAAAATTATGATGTAAATGTTTATATTCTCAAAGAAAACGCAAAGCATGCATGTATTTAAAAGATGGAAAAAGAAACAAAGTATATTTTTATAACAGTTAGTCCTTACAATTCTGTGTATATATTTATCTAATGCAAATATTATTCAAGTGCATACATATTTATTTATTTCACTTATGTAACTAACATTATTTTCCACCTATTGTATTTTGCATAAAATAACCCATATTTCATTATACTTGTCCATTCAAATTTTAAGTCTATAGCTTCTGGGTGGCAAACATAATCAGGTTCTTAATAATTTATATTTCCAATGCTACACTGTGAAACCTATATAGCAGTGCTGTTCTTCTCGTATTCAGTTCTTGGATACACACATCTCATCCCTGGCTGGAGAGCAGCATACACAACTTGCAAACTGTCACACAGTGGAAAGGGTGATCCGTGTTGCTAAGGAACTAGAAGCAGCTGGGAATTAGAAAGTGATAAATGGGAAAAGAAAAGAAGCTGGGAAAAGCGGAAACTTACAAGGTCAGCCACTTTAGGCTCAACTAATGCCACTCATAGGCCACATTAATGGAAAGGGGAACATCTAGAATTTCAGACTGAATTAATTCCAAACCCAAGCCGATAAATAAGGACATTTGTGCAATGCTTTTGAAGACAAATCCTGTTCATCGACTGCAATTTTATCATTGCTACCTCCCCCTCCCATGCAAATATAATTACTAATCCTGCCACCTACACACACCCATACCCAACATGCTATTCTTTTTCACAGTAAGCAAGATTATGCAAAGCACAGAAAATGAATACGAAATAGTAAGAGCAAAAATAAACAGATGAAGGGAAACAAAAGGAATATAGCTAAACAGTTTGTATTCATTCCATTCACCATAGCTTTCTATTTTTGTAAAACATCCTTGCTTTCAAAAATCTACATAACTCTTCCCCTTTATCCTTTAAAATTTACACCTTTCCTTTTGGGAGTGGGCTCACATTAAGCCATTCCAA